CTCTGGTGTCGATGAAAGCAATAATTCGAGTGGTTATCCACTTGGATGATAAACTTTGAGTTCTACTTGAGGAACGACTGCGAGCGCATTGATCTCCTCTCGGGCTTCGATCATTGGTTCTGAAATTTGGTAATGATCATTGCCTTGATTTTCATAGATATCAAGAGAGAATAAAGTTTCTTCATTGGGTTCATCATCCACAGAGAATATGGATTCAAGGTCCTCTTCCTTGCCGAGATGTATGCTGGTGTAATCTTCAATTTCTTCAATCAGTTTGACAGATCTTCTTGATTGTGGACAATTCTTAGCGAAATGTCCAATCTTATGACAAATAAAACATCTGTTTTTCATATGAAAATTTCATGGCCTTCTTCGTCTGAAATATTTTGTGCGTCTCTTGGACCTTGATTACCCGTCTGAAATTCTTGGCCATTTGAACCTCCTAAATTCTCTCCGTCGCCTAGATGTGTGGCAGGAACATCCTGATCCGGTGATTAGATCAGATTTGCAGCATGCTTTGTCAAGCGCTGGATTGTGTTGGATAATTTGTTTTAAGGCAGAGCGCTTCATACAAATATCATCCAATGCAACGAAAATAGCTTGTCTGATGTAACCAATTTGTGGGATTGTTATGGATTGAAACTTTTCGTCAATGATGGTCATGGTTCGACTTGCCAGCAACTTTCGAAGGGAAGATACAAAGGCTTGCTTTAGATTGATATCTCCACCGATCTCGAAGTATATCTTCGCCATTTTTTAAAAATATCTATCAGTGTCATTTCTGTCGAATGACACACACTTCATCTCAAAGAGTTGTCTTCGCATTTTCTCCTGTCTTTGGCCAGTATCTCCGCAGAAAACTTCATGTAGGATCCTGATGTTGAAGGCAAAATCTTGGGAAGTAAGAAAAGTATTTTTGTCTTGGATTCCACGTGAGTTCCACCAATCTCTAAGAATTCTTGAGAACCGTGAAGTGAATTCTGAAAGGATGATATACTTTTCTCGTTCAACCAAATTTTTTGTCACCATCCAAGTATAGAAGTCTTGGATCCTTTGAGGCCATTTTGAAACATTGACGTCATCTAAGGTGAAAGTGTGGAAACCAGTTCCAACTGGTTTTGACGCCATTGGCTCATATCTTTTTTCTGGGATTGGTTCATCTGTCATGCCTTCTTGTTCCTCATCTACTTCAGATATTTCTGGGTCTCGTGGCTGGTTTACAAATATTGGGGGATCGTCTTCTTCGGCAGAGTTCGCTGTGGATTCATTGCTTGATTGAGAGCTATCTTCCATTGTTTCATCTTCTGATGAATTTAGAGATTCCGACCATGGAGTATCTTCCTCTGATGTGTATCTTGGCTGGGAGACATAGAGGCCTGGAGCCTTCTGGTTAGAAATCATCAGATTTTCGGGATTCGATCCTTTTGAACTTTCTCCTTGGTCTCACCTTTTCTTGGTTTGTTTCTGTGCTGCAAGGGCATCTTTCCTTTCCCAAACCATTTTTGCGATATCAAAATCATGTTCTTCTTTTGCTGGTTGGGTGAAAGAGATAAGATTTTGTGAGGTAGATGGAAATGTAGAAAAGGTATAGTCCAACTTAGGCGGGGAATATGCTTGTGGGGACATAAGGAAGAAGGTAGGCTTTGAAGGGAAAACTGGGGGTCTTTGTGGCTCAAAGTGTTCATTTCTCAAAAGTTGGATTTGTTCCTTGATGGAAATCGTCTCTTTTTGTTGTTGTTGGAAAATTGGAAAAGTGAAGTTCCTGGCGGACAAATCTCATATTGTAAATTTTCCAACCTTAGTCCCAAAGCTTTGATTAGTCCGACATGGTGAGACGATGTCTTCTCCATCTTCTTCTCAATTGTTTCCACTTTTCTCATCATTTTGTTCTGTGTATGGGCCACGTTATTTATGGTGTGGCCAATGTTGTTCAGGACTTTGTTTTGGCAGATGGAGTTTTCTAATTGCCAATTTATTGTTGCTTCAATGTCACTCGTTGGGGGTTTTTCTCCAGAAGGTAGTACTATGTTTTTCTTGGGGATTTTTGGGGCATGACTGCTACCCTCTTTTTCGAAAGATTGAAGTGGAGGAAAATCTTGGGAGTGGCTGGAACTTGAAGGGCTCATCATGAATATTTGTGGATGTGTAGACTTTTGGGTTGATGGAGTTTTAGGTTCAGGTTGCTTTTTGGATTCTGGGTTACGAGTTGATGGTGGTTTGGGTTTTCGGGTGGTTTCACTATCATCCCAACTTGGAGTGAATTTTTCTGGTAATTTTGGCCATTCCTGGGGTTCATAACTGACAAGAAATTCATATTTACCTGGACGGCTTAATGAGCCAATTGAAGGATCTTTATTTTCATATTTGGCTCGAAATTGTTTTTCAGTAGTTTTCTCCTTTTTCTTGGATTTTGGTTTACGCTGGTGATGTTCATCATATTCTCCAATTGGATCTTCTAAACAGTCTTGGCAGGTGCAACTAAGATCTCGTGGGCAGTTTCCAGTGAAGGGGCATTTGAACCACCACATTCTTTTTCCTTCTTTGTCAAAATATTGGTACCAGTCATGTTCTTCCATGATGCTTTGTATATTTCAAAAAAACTCTCCATCAGGTTCTGGGTATGTATCTGTTGTATCTTTGGGTTGAATCACTTGGCAAGAGAAGATTGTTTTGTTGGGTTTTTTGAGATGGGAATGGTCAAAGCTTATACAAACGGTTTTGTCACTTCTTTTGGTAAAAGTTGGTTCACCAGATTGCAGAGATTCTTCAGGTTCCCTTAGCTTTTCGTAATTTGTGATCCAGGAGTCAGGAAGAATTTTGACTAGCTCATCTCTGGAAATCTGTCTGGGTATTTGGGTGCACGTGGTGTTTCCTTTGGTAGCGTCAATATTTAAGAGTAAAGCATTTTCTCCTCCGGGGAGACAGAGATCCATGGCATGATTTTGGACTCGCCATGCTATTTGGTGGTGAATAGTAGCTTGGATGGAATCTTTGGCTTGTGGGGCTCCTTGGATTTGGACTTGGATTTTTAGAGCTTCGGTTAGGTATGGGTCATAAAGGGACATGTTGAAATTTGGAAGATAGTTATGAAGATTGTCCCGGCATTTAAGGTAACTTCTGTAGTACCCAAATTGGCATGTTGGTACTCCAAATATCTTGTATCTAGAAGAGAAAGTCGAGCTACGACAGGTTGACCTTTTCTTCCGTGGTATGTTAAAGCGATTCGGATAGCACCAAAATGAATATGGGTAAAACCATGATCTCTCCATTGTCTGGGAAAATCATCTGGTATTTGAAGAGTGATAAATTATTCCTCTTGAGTGGCAAGAATAGGATGCTGGTCAAGTTTTGAGGCAGCAACATATTCTTTAACTCCTTTTGGTCTATGTTGGACTAAGGAACGAATTTGGGTCCAGGGTGCAAAGGATTTTTTGGCAAAAGCTGAGTAAGGGTTTATGAGGTGTAGTTCAGTGGAGGATACTTTTTGTTCATCAGGTAGTATATCTACTTCATAGAGGTAATCATATTTTTTGGACAAGGTTTTATATAGAGTAGGGGACATATTCATTTTTGCAAGGGAAGAGGATGATGGAAATGACTCAGACATATTTAGTAAACTAGTTCCTCCCCTTCCGTAAA